ATTTACAAATCAATTATCCAATGAAAATTAACTATGAAAAGTCATGTGATATGCTAAAATTCATATCACAACAGTATTTAATAATAGTTGTTGTAAAAATGACGTTGAAGAATTTTTACACGTATTTGTATTCTGATCTTCAACTGGTATGAAATTTAGTTTAAATGCTTTTGTTGATTTTCACTATTTGATAATGATATATTCTATTCTTGTTAATTATTATTATTATTATTATTATTATTATTATTATTATTGATGTTGTTTCCCAGCAGACTTTGAAGATATTGTAAGAAATTAATATTGTTTACTATAGAAAGAGTACTAATTGAATTTTGAAAACTGGAGGTGAAAGTTGTAGAAGCAGCTGGAGTTCTTCTATAATTAGCTGGCTGATTGTTTTGATTATTTTGATATTGTTAATTGCTGTTAAAAGTGTTTTTTCTTCATGCTAGACAATCATTGGCATAATGTCCATACTCTTTATAACTATAACATTGGATTTGTCAGTTTTGATCTTGATTTGACCTGTCATAATTTTCATAATATTTACAATCTTTGTTAAGTGATTGGTTCTTCCACATACGAAACAAGTTTTTTGATTCGATTATTGATTGTAGCAGCGACTAATATAATTGTCACAATTTCAACTAGTACTTTTAGTAGTTTGCACAGTTAATTTCTTGACTTGTTCTGTTAAATCAGTTATGGCTTTATTAACATTAATTGCTGTGATTGTAGGTATATTAACACCAAGATTTTGTGAAAAAAGTGAAGTTGGATTTAATAAATTTTGATAAGTTTGTCGATAACTAGCTTCTATACTGATTGCTTCATTTATGGTAGCATTCAAGGTTGCTGAACTGGCTTTATTAACGAAGAATGTTATTTCTGCTTTTAATCCTTTGACAAATTTTTCAATTTTATAAGTGGTGAGGTAAGTATTGTCTGGATCAATTTTTCTCAACAAGATACAGATATCTTCAGCATATTGAGTTATACTTTCTTTATTTTTTTGAATTTTTAATCATAGTTGCTGTTGTCAAACAAGAATTTGTGCATTTGTTCTGAATTGCATACAAAATGATTGACAAAAGGAATTATTATTATTATCATTCCAACTAATAGGTCAATCATTATTTAATGTTTTTTGTTGGTCGAACCAAGTGGTTGTTACATCTCTTAGATAAGCTGAAACTATCTGTTGCTTTCTGTCATTTGTGATGTTGTTTGCATTTGCTGAGCTTTCAAATTCGTCCAACCAGTTGATTGGATCTTTGTGATTATTTTTGCTGAAAGTTGATAGTGAGATAATGGATATCTCATGTTATTGATTCTGCTGTGCTTGCATGACTTGAATAAGTGAGATGAGAGCATTGGCTAATTGTTATATTATATATTTGCCATTTCGTTGTCTTCTTGTTGTTGCTGTTAATGTTGCTGTTGTTGTTAATGTTGTTATTGTTGATGTTATTGTTGTTGATACTGTTGTTGATACTGTTGTTGACGAAGTTGATTTACAAATCTTTTTGTAAGAATTCTTCTAAAATTTTTTTGAAAAACTAAAGCTGCTTGGTTTTGTAATTGTTATTGTTGCTATTGTTATAAGAGTTATCAATATTGTTGTAGTTATTGTTGTCTGGCTTGTGCTTTCTTTGTTCTACTTGTCTTCAAATTTAATTTATATTGTTGTCTTCATTATACAAAGTCATGGATATCTTGATACAAGTTTTGAATGTAGTTTATAATTTGTTGATTGATTTTTGAAGAGTAGTTGGACATCCAGGCAGTAAGTTGAGTAAGAGTTTGAGAGATATTGGTGTTGAAATTATAATGTTTGAAGAGTATTATTATGTATATTTTTATTTGTTGTAAATCTTCACTTGGTATGATTTGATCAATTTCAAGTACAGTTAAGAGTAATTGGAATTATTATTCTATTTCTATGCTTTCAAATTGTGTGGGATCCAGGTTTTCTTTTTCAAATTTGTCTCCACAGAGAGAGCACCAAAAAGACTGTTACCATTTTGAGCTTTTGTGTATGAAAATATTTCAAAATGGCAATAATAACTGTGTTTATGATAATTTACTTTGAATATTATAACTTAAATAGTGTTTATAATGATAAAAGGTGATAAAAATAAGATTAAACTAATAACAAGACTAAACTTAAAAGGTAAACTTAATTAAAAACTACTTAAAATTCCAAAATAAAATCAATTTAACATGTCAAATTCAATATTAAACCAAAAAAAACTCAAATTCAAAACTTAAGAATTTAAACTAAATCAAAAGAACTTGATTTTTATTAATTATCAGCATTTGTATTTATACATATTTTTGTGGTACAGTGATACAGTATGATACAATAATGTGCAGTATGATGCAGTTGCAGCACAACATGTGGCACAATAAATCTATATTAATAATATGAAATTACTGGTTCTCTTCTAAATTACACAAAATTTAATTACATCATAATTGATAATCTTGTTCTATATCTAAGTATCAATAGCAAAAATATAAAATAGAAGCTAAACTAATATAGATAATGATGAAATTTGCCAAGAAAATAATGTGATTAATATATCCAAATAAAGATAACAATGAGATAAATATAGAAAGATAAGTAATATGAAAAAAAAGAAGAAAATAGAAAGAAATAGAATGAAGTAAAATATTATCAAACTAACTATGTAATTCAAATATCATTATGACTAATTTTTATCATAACTGTGTCTTCTGTTCACGTGTTCTTATATTAAATTATTAACGATATTGAATTGGTGACACTATGTTTAATTAATAAATTTTGATATTGTTACATTATTTTTGATTGTCACTAATATAAAAATAAAAAATTTTTATTAGTAAAATTAAAAATTTTTAGAGAAAATCCTGATAATTTTTTTCGCTGTTCCATTATTTTTGATTGCTACTATATATATTTTTAAAACAACAATATATTCTTTTTGGATTCACTTTTTAATCTTTTTATAAAATTTTTCAACCAATTAATTTTCTAAAATAATTATATATATTCTGAAAAATTGATTTTTGCCTTCTAAAACAGAATTAGTGATTAATTCAGTTGAATTTCTCATTCTATCACGAAAATTATTTACGTTATCTATATTTTGAATTAAAACTCACTCAATACAGCAATTTATAATATAATTATATTTTTTCTTAATAAATTATCAGAATTAAAAAATTAAGTTTTTTGAATTTTAAAAATCGAATTATTTAATTTCACTGCGAATTTACTCCTCCATAAGCCAATCTATTACCTCTTCCCAAATTTCAAAATACAACATGTGTCCTTTTTCTTTCACAAATCGAGACTCACAGCCGGATATATGATCCACTAAATATCTGCCCATAACTGCAGTTGTCCCGATATCTTCTTCCCCGTGCCACACTTTACACTTTACACTTTCCCCCTTACCCGATTTCCCAATATCTTCTAATCGGAAACCCCAAGGTTTTCCCCACAAAGAATACTCGTAACATTCAGTACTAAGTTGTCCACGTGAGTATTGTTCCAGCATACTCTCTATACACATACGCTCTACTCCGGGCATATTTTCATATATATCTCGATCCGATTGTGGTCCATCGTTGAATCCTCCACGCATTGCTCCTACTGGATCGCGGATTGCCATTTTAGCCTCAAACCAAGCCAATAAAGAAAGAAGCTTAGGAGAATGCTTAGTAAGCCACCTAAAATTATTCATAAATTATTCATTTTTTGCTAATAATCTCATTATATCTAATTGACTTTATTACTCACCAAGCTAGTTTATGTTTCCAAGGCATTCGATCAGTGGCATGTGGAGTATTATGCGGTGATATTCCGCTAATAATTGCAGCTTTTGTGACAAGTGGTTTTATTAATGCGTCTTGTTCACCTTCTTCGCTATTACCCAAAGAATGCGCAAGTGCTAATCCATATGGACCACCAGCAGAATAAGCAATAACTTTACATTCCATTATTCTTTTTATCACACAAAATTCTTTAACGTCATTAGCAAAATCGAGAAATGTTCTTTTTGCAAAGGTTGATAATCCAATTCCTGGTCGTTCTAATACAAATAAACGAATTTTAATCAAATCCAAACTTTCATTATCGCAATCATGATCACTACGATTATTGCTATTATTTTTCGCCGAAGTTTTGTTTAATTCTTTGTTTTTTTCTTCTGCAAGTACGTGCGGGTGACAGTAAAACCGAGACCCTGGTAGACCTGGTATCAATAAAATTATGTGTTCTCGATTGTCTCTGAGTGCTGTTTTTTGGACAGTATGAGTTATATTATACTCCATGAAACCGAATTGTCTTCCATCTATTAATTGAACAGTTTCGCCTTCTTTTTTCGGGAAATTTGCAAGAACAAGGTCCGGATACTCTGGGAGTTCAGTGTTGAGGTTAGCGCTAGTTGTATCTGTTGCCATTAGCGTAAAGTATATCGTGATTTATTTTCTCCCTAAAATATTTTATTTGATGAATGCTACGCTATGTACCGTAAAGTCCCAGTTTTATAGTATCCTAGCCATGGCGAAAAAAAGTGTCGAGTCATGTGATTCCCGATCTTCGACATCCCTCTTATAATACGTATATAATATTAGAGTTTCGATTAGAATTAGTTTAAGATTATTATATAGCAGACGGGGCATAGCCTATAGTTTCATATGTAAAGTTTCAAAAATAGGTGTTTCTTTCTTAAAATTATAATATATAGAATTTCAGTTAGATTTAGGATTAGATTTAGAGTTAGAATTATCATATAACAAATGAAAATGTAAAATATAGTAAAATTTTGCAAGAAATATTTTTTATTAAAGCACAAAAAATAATTGTATAAACAAAGTTTTAAAATACAAGCTATTTTTCAAAAACAAGTATTTGTTTATTTATTTTTGAATTTTTACATATTAATCTTGTAATTTAATTAGTATATAATTCTAAGAAATATATCAGATGATCAATATTAGGATTAGAAAGCATGAAATCTGAAAATTTTTTTTCATTACTTTTTTATTAAAAAATCAATGTCAGATTAGAAATTATATAATCTGATACTTTTTTTAGCATGATCAGTTTTACTGATTCTAATTTCAAATTTTCTAATTTGGAATTATTATTCAAATTTAAAAATATATTAAAGTATTATACATCGGGTAACATCGGAGGGCGCAGTTCTGCACAAATCTTTGGGTCCGAAGTTTTTCAAAGATTTTCGAACCTGGTAGCAATCTGTGAAGAAAAAAAAATTTCTGCACAGATTTGCAATAATACATAGGTCTGCGCAGAATTTTTATTTTTTTTTAAAAAATTCTGCGCAGGACTTTGTAATGGCATTTATAACAGTACTTTGTAA